AATTATTTGATAAACTGCCTGCCCAAACCAAACCCTCAGTCGATTTAGCAGCACTCCATTGCGAGTCAAGCTATAAGATAGTCGATGTAGTAGCACTCCGTTACGAGTTAGGTTATAAGATAGTCAATGTAGCAACACTCTGCGCATGTTTTACAGTTAAAAAATTAAAAATTTATTTTAAATAAAGTTTTAAAATATATAATAAGGAATTGGAGAGTTTTTTTATTTTTATTTTTATCATAACAGTAATGGTCTTTAAAATATAATGTTTTGGTTCGCAAAAAAGTTCGCATTTTACCGGTGTAGCGGTAAATTAAAACTCCAGGAAATTAGGACTTTGAAGTCTTGATTTCCCGGGAAATCAAGACTTTGAAGGAAAGTTTGACGGAAAAATTTGATGTTTTAAGTCATAATTTCCCGGGAAATTATGATTGGAGCGGTAAATTAAGACTCCAAGAACTTGCGATTCAAAAAAAAAAATTTACAAAGAAGTCGTTCTATTCTGCAGAAAAAAAATAATTTTTTTTTTAAAACTGTATTACAGTTTTTATTCTAAATTCCATTTAAAATAGAATTTAGAATAGAATCAAAGTTGATTCGAACGCAAAAGCGTGTTTAAATAATCCGCTACAATTGTTTCATACGTAAACAAATAAATAAATTTTACAAATAAACACAAGTGTGCTGCTTCATGGCGAAGGAAAGAAAACATTTTGATTTTGATAACATAGAAGATTATCTTAGGAATAAAAAAATACCCTTCTACTATATCTACACATGATTATGGGATTAAATCAAATTTTCGAAGAGCAGCAAAACGGTTTGAAGTGAAAGACGGACATTTATTTTATAATAAAAGAATGGTTATTAAAGACAAAAAACTCCAAATGGAAGTTTTTAGAGACGTACACCGAGGTATTGGAGATTCTGAACACTCTAAGGTAATGGCCTCACATAGAGGAAAAAATACTACGTATGACAATATTGCGCAAAGATTTTTTTGGTATAATATTGCTGCTGATGTTAGTAAGTATATTAGGAGCTGCGAACAATGTCAAAAACAAGTTAACATATAATCTCCAAAATTAGAATTTGTAAACGAAGTATGTAAACAACTACACAAAATAACTGGAGTAGAGCGGAGAGTTACGTCTGCTTATCACCCTCAGGCAAATGGATTGGTAGAACGTCAAAACCGAACAATAAAGAACTCTTTGGTAAAGGTTTTGGAATGTAATCCTAATATGTGGCCGCAAATTTTTGAGGGTATTCTTTTTGCTCATCGCGTTAGTCGACATTCTTCTACTAACTACTCTCCATTCATGCTGATGTATAATCGCGAACCAATTTTGCCAATTGATGTGAAGCATAGCCATTTCAAAGACAAAAGCAATAAACAAGAACACCGAGAAGAAAATATAGACGTAGAACAACCATTCGATTTCAACTTTTTTGATGCCGTCTTTTCATTAACAAGTAAAGTCATAGCAACAATCATGTCTGAAGCAAGCGAAAATATAAAAGTTGCGCAGAAAAAGCAAAAACAAGATTATGATAGTAGACATTTGTCAAAGTCAGAAATTAAGGTAGATGATATTGTATTATTGAAAAACAACAAACGATTTGATCGGAAGGGTGGGAAGTTTTCACAAAAATGGCTCGGTCCTTTCACTGCAGTGAATATCTCTGAAAAAGGAGTTGCAACTTTAAAAAACATTGGGGTTAACTCTTAAAAAAACATACAACATTGTTCAACTTAAAACTTATATTTAAGGAGCAGACGATAAACTAAAACCAATATTAGTTGAAGGATCTGCATATTTTTGGAATCATGCACCAGACGAAATTGTTGAGATGATTTTGATATATGCCGTGCAACAATCGGAGAGCTCATTCCCTGGACACAAGTGTGAGACCTATGCAAGTATCAAATCAACGTGTAGCAAGTGGGCCCGTTTAATTGAAAGAAAAGGTACTATCTTACTTCCAAAGATATATATTGATTTGTAAAAGCCTCTTGGAAAGCCTCCAATCATAATAATGAAAGTAATACTGTAAGTACACAAATGTTATTAAAAACTTTTGGAAAATCTAGTGGACTAGCTAGCCAACTATCAGATTGCATAGGTGATAAAAAGTGGCGATCTTCTTGGCTAATCTTGAAACCTCAGAAACACTCTTGGTATACCATAGATCGAATCTTCTGGAAAACAAAGGTATTTCAGCCAAATCATCTTTGCAAGTTTCGAATTTATGCCTCAGGAATGAACTGTATGAGCTCACATGCAGATAGGGAAATTTTGGAAAGTAAAGATAGCTGGTTGAACGGCAATCTTATGGACGCAAGGCAAAAGTTATTTTGTAAAGCTCTTGGCAGCCATGAAACTTACCAACCAGTATTAAACTGCTAGAAAAAGAAGTCCACATATTTCCCAGCTTCTGGTGACCACCTTCAAATATTGCACGTAGTTCTCTTTGGCTATTAGCATTTGCTTCAAATGGCAGGGTTCAAGTGTGCGATAGCCTGCGCACTAACCTAACATCGATTTCGATAAAATGTTTAAAATCCCCCTTTCAACCACTTGTGAAGAATGGAAAGCTTGAAGTAACATTTCTTCCCGTTGATAAGCAAATTGATAGTTTCAATTCTGGTGTCTTTGCTCTGGGTTATGCAAGTATATTGCTGGATGGAAAAATATTTCCTCTTGATGTTCGATTTGTTGTGAATAAAATGCGTACTCACTATATAAAATGTTTAACAGACGCTCACTTATATCCTTTTCCAACACTTTAAAAGGCCGTCGATGTTTTATGCAACAAATCTAAACTTTTCATGATTTGATTCAAAACTCAAAATTGACTTTTCACTTGTATGTGATTTTATAAATTTGTTTATAACCATTACAAAGCAAATCGGTAACTAATACTATTTTCGTAATATTTAAACTTTTTTCTATGTAGTGTCTATCATTCTATTAAATTTACTCTAGTATATTTCGTAGAGTTTTATTTTAAGTATTTACGAAAAAAAATAATGCGTTAAATACAAAATATGAATAATACCTTAGCCGTCTATAGAGGACGCCATCTTTTTTTAGGCAATTTTACTCCCCCCAGGCGATGACTACCTATTTTAAAAATAATGAAAAATTTTTTTTGATCTCATTTCATATTTTATGGACTTCTTTTTGACAATTGTCTTTTTTATAAGTTTGATGAAGGTTATTATAAGACCTTATTAGCGAATTAAAAGAACAATTTTTATCCATCTTGTGACATGCAGGGCCGACAACAAGGGAGGGGGGGAGGTAGGGCCAGGGTGCAACTGCCCCTCCTCACTTTTTATTTATAAAAGTTGACAATTTTTATAAAAAACTGAGCACTTTTTTTTTTTTAATAAAGTAGTGTGTCCCCCCACCCCCACCCCCACACACTGCAAAAACCGTGTCGTCGGCCCTGATAGACATTGTAAGTATGACGATTAAATAAAAGTTGCAGCAGACAACACTGATATTTTACACTTTAGCAACATTTTTGAAAAAAAAAAAAAAATATATATATATATATATATATATATATATATATATATATATATATATATATATATATATATATATATATATATATATATATATATATATATATATATATGTATATATTAACTCTAATGATATATTCATAAAAGCACGTTTACATAGTTTTCCATGTTATTTAATATAAAAACAGAAAAAAAATCTTCAAATGAAGTTCATTTCTTGTAAACACCCTCACTCCCACTTTGTCCTTTTTATCCCAACCTCCCTCCTCCTTTTTTGCAATATGTTCCCAAGTAGCAAACAATATTGGCGCAATATTGGGGCGATATTGTTTACAATATTGGCGCAATATTGTAAACTATATCGGACCAATGTAGCAATGTAAACATTTTGCCAATATTAACCAATATTGGCGCTACAATAATGCACCAATATTGTAAAGTCAATATTGGCCAATATTGGCAAAATGTTCACACTGCAACATTGGTCCGATATAGTTTATAATATTGCGCCAATATTGTAAATAATATCGCGCCAATAATGGAGATATTATACTGGCCAATATCGGCCTAATATAGTTTACAATAATATCCTGATATATATAATATATATAACTAAATAAGGCAATATATTGAGTATAAAAAATAAGGCAATATATTGAGTATTTTCGATTAAATTTTTATTATTAAAAATTAATAAAAAATATTGCCTTCTACAAATTTGTAATAATTAAAATTACTAACAGTTTTCTTGTTTAAGTGATACTGTAGTACTAGGCTGCATCATTCTTTTGAGTCAAACAGGTTATAGTCTAGGAGATGACAATAATCATAGAACACGCTTTAAGAAAAAAAAATTCAAAATCATTAAATTTATTTGAAGGTAAATGAAACAGATACAAATGAAAAAAAGGTATAGAGTTTTCCAAAACCAAAATATAACAAAATAAAATCAATGTTATTTAAATACACGTATAAAATATATATATATATATATATATATATATATATATATATATATATATATATATATATATATATATATATATATATATATATATATATATATATATAAATATATAAACTACTGTATTATACTCTCACTATGAGATAGTGGGCATCGACTTTATTATATTGGCGATACTTATTTCATTGCTCAATATTGGGCGTTGCTCAGTTACGGTTCTATTTTTCTTCCATAATCTCTATTAATGACCGTCGCCAGAAAGCTGCCAATTTTTTTTTAAATACTTTTGTCAGTAGCGATTTCAAATTGAACGAATACAACGATAAACGACTGAACGCAACTCTACAAAATATTTTTTAAATATCATCACAATATAATTTTGAAATATATAACTTTTCACTCATAAATATTGTAAAGTAATTAGCTTTTATTAAAATATTTATTTATTAAAAGGATATGGGATGTAGAATACAAATATTGTGCTTTACCATTAATGACCTTGCAGGACGTTTTTGTTTCATTCCATACACTGAGTATGAAAAACATACTTCTTTGGCCATTAGCTGTATTAAGATTGCCGCTGTAAGTTGTTTCTCATCTGCTCCAACCGAAGTAAGAAAGTTCGTCTAAAATAAGAAAACAAATGTAATATAATTGGTTGTACTAAAAGTATAATGGTTCCTCATGTGAAAGTATTAGACGGTTTTCCATAATGTGATTCTTATTAAAATATGACATTATGGAAGAGTAAAAGCAATTGGTTATAACTAGATTATGACATCTGCAGCGGTGAATACACCCTACAGATGTCAGAACTACATTGCTAACTGGGCATAAAAGATAAAAATCACAATAAAATGTAATAAGCATTTATGTAAAACATTCTGATATACAACATAATTATAGTCAACCACGTATTATATTGTATCATTTGTTTGTATGTTTCATATAAATGTATCATTTATTTTAAAAATTAGAAACTTTAATAGTACATGGTACTGTTTCCAAAAACTATTAACTAATATCAATTCACTGATATATACTATTGATTCATAAGGTGTCTTTGTTCCATAATTCTTCTTCTAGGTTTAAAAGATCTTTTTTCATCTAAAACCGGCAAATAAATTCAATAAACTGAAAGAGATAGTCAAGCAAAGCTCTGATGGAATCACTTAACCTTAAAACACTAAAGATTTCTGCAATCTTTGACAAACTGAGAGACAATCTGTCTCTCACTGTCACTTTTTTTGTAACCTGCATCCTTTTAAGCTGGAGGCACAAATAATTCCGTTCTAAAGCAGTCTCATAACTGTCAAAAAAAAGTATAAAGAAGAGATGAAACCATACTAAACAATCAATATTTACTATATTTGAGTCAAACATAGCTGTTTAGATAAAAAAAACAAAGACAATACTGTAAATAAAACAAAAACACTATTGTAAATAAGACAATTACCAAAAAATTCTTATTTTCAGCTGCTTTCAGTTACTTTTAAAAGCGTGACTTTACGTATGGCAGTTTAAAGGTAAGATGCTTGCAAGTGATTTGGCCAATACACCAAACTTTCATTGATAGGCCATGAAAAACAGATCACATTCAAAGCACACATATTGTTTTTTCATTGAAAATTTCAGCCAGAGCAAATTTTGTAAACTTTATTACCACCTTTAGTTTAACGGTGCATCAGCTAAAAAATAATTACAAATAAATTTATAATATAAAAAACTTCAGATTAACTTTCTTTTTTGAGATTTTTTTTTTTTTTTTAACTGAAAATATTAGTCTAAAAATTATTGAGATTCATTTCTTAATGTTTAATGAAATCGCTTTTTATTGCAAGTAGAGTTTAATTATTGGTTAGTAAAAAAAAGTGAATTATAAAGTTTGCGCAGTTTGGAAGGTTTCTATGATAAAATTTTCTTATTTAAATATGACATTAATGAATATAAACAACTTGAGGCTCTAAGTAAATATTTACCATTTTGCGATTGTACATTTGATGAACCCAAGATGCATCTAGATGTTTTTTTAATGTCGTGACGGATGTTGAACACTATTTCAGCTGGTAGACTATTCTACAAATTTGTGAATTCCATTTTAGAAAAGTTTTTCCGGACATCTGTCTTACAAAACATTTTTTTCAATTTATAAACATGATCGCATGTTGTTAAGTAGGAGTTAGTCATAATGAAGGAATAAATACTAACTGAATATATAATCATATATTAATATTAAGGAGTGGCCATATTAACACGCATCCTATTACAACTCAGATTAACTACTTAATGGTCTGTAATTACAATAATAAAAATAATGGCTGTGCAGATGACATCATTCTGACACAGGTGTTGATAAATAAAATACTGAATGGTATTTTATGAGGAAACAAAAGGGTTGAACTACAATTATAAAGATTGTGAACGCATTTGTAAGTTCTGCCATGTCATTACATAAGAAACGATAGCTCATGCTAGTTAAATTTAGTCTCAGTAGACTTTGGTTGTAAGTGAGTCCAGTCTGGCCAAAAACAAATTTACTAGACTAGCATAGAACATTTTAAATTAATTGTTGATCTTTTTAAAGTCTAGGATAGTAGACAGAGCTGCAAGAATCAAGGTGAGGACGAACAAGGAAAATAAACAAAGTACGAAATGTCAAGATATTGAAATTGATAAATGATCTTTTGATCAACTTTTCCTACAACTTTATTAGCGGTGTTATTCTTAGTACTTACAAAATAAAAGTCAAATTACTGTCAATGAAGATCCCTTTCTTGACGAGAGAGTTTTTAATATTAATTGAAGTATTGAGATTTTTATAAACGAGTATATAAATGAATTTTGTATTTGTTGGTCCTTAGGGCATTGTTGGTCCGAAGGGAAAATTTTGTATTTGTTGGTCCTAAGGGTATAACTTTACATTTTTTTTTACATTAAAACTTAGTTTTCACAGTTTTTCCCAGTTTGCTATATTGTCCATACTTTATTGCAGGTTATTGCATGGTAAACTATCAAAAAGCAAACTGTATAACTTAGTATCATCTGTAAATACAGATACAACGTCTAAAACCAAATCAGAAAAATCTTTATTATATATCATAAAAGTTAATAATGGGGGACCCCACTATTTACTATTATCCATTCTGAGTATGTACCACCAACAATGATACTCTAATGCTGATCTCTTAGGTAACATCAAAATCTAATTGTAGAGTTAGTCATTTATTCTATAAGCTTTTAATTTTAGAAGTAGGAGTTGTGAAATGTGTTGAAAGATTTTAATATATCTGATATAAATTTTCTATATCAGTTTTATTCTCCAAGGCTAATGTTCAACATCAATCCTCACTAAAGTTTATAGCATTTTCAAAGTCGCATTTATATAATTTTTACTATTTTCAGCATTACTTATTGTGTGAATTTTACTTTAATCTTGTTTAACTACTCTTAACATAACGTGATGTAGCAGATCTAGTTTAACTTATTGATTTATTTATTACGTATAACATTGCATTAAACTATTGCATTAAATAAAATGCTATATAAAATAAAAGACATAATAAAAAAAACTTCTTTATTGCAAAATTATTATTTTATGATAAATTTATGTGCGTGTGTGAAGGTCAATAATATATATATATATATATATATATATATATATATATATATATATATATATATATATATATATATATATATATATATATATATATATATATATATTATTGATGTTATTATAAAATCTTACAACAGTTAGAAAAAATAATAATGACGTATTTATTTCTTAAACGAATATCTTTAACAAAATAAATAGACTATAAAACTTATATTTTATAGATAAAATCTTCTCAAAGTGTTTTTATTTAAGAGTAAACTTACTATTTTAATCTTGATACTTAAGTATAGCAATATTTTTCCTATTCTTCTCGTGATGCAATATAATTTAAATTAATTACAACCACTTCTTCTTGTAATTCAATTCGTAATGTTGAATAAAAGATTTTTATTACTCTTACCACTTCTTCTCGTGGTACTATCTGTTTTAAAATAAATTACAAACACTTCTTCTCCTGATTCACTATGTAGATGTTGAATTAGAAATACTTTTCCTACTTCTCTTTACATAAATTAAAATTTTTATTATGAACTCTTATATTTTTTTGCAAAAAAAATTAATTACATAAGGATGCCTGTTTATGTAAAAAGATGCTATTATTTACATTTACAAAACTAAACATTTAACTACACATTTAACAAAACATTAATTACACATTTAACTACACATTTAAACTACACATTTAAACATTAACTACACATTTAAACATTAACTACACATTTAACAAAACTAAAGGACATTATGAATATTCCTTAATGTTACGCATGCGTACCAATATGTTAAATTTAATATAAAGCCAATATTGGCAAACAATATTTCGCCAATATTGGCATAACAATATCAGTAAATCGATAATGGAATAATATTGGCGCAATATTTTGCCAACATTGGCATAACAATATCAGTAAAACGATAATGGATAATATTGGCGCAATATTCTTTGACAATATTGGCGTAATATTGCTTGACAATATTGGCGCAACATCAGAATTCTTGACCAAGATTAGCCAAGATACCCAATATCGTGTCAATATTTACCCCAATATTGTTTGCTACTTGGGTTCTTTATGGTTGACTCCTTGAGCAATTCATTTAATCTTTTAAAAAAAAAAACAACGAATAAAAAAAAGTAAAACTTCAATCCATTAAACTTATTAATTTTTAATAATTTCTATATTCAAAATATTTTATATTTCTACTAATTATCAAAAGTTTAGTTATTTCTCTATCATCAATTGAAAAAAAAAATCAATAAAAAAATAAAATCAATAAAAAAAATTTGATTAAATCAAACAAAATATTATTAAAGTCTTAATTTACCATTTTTTTAATTTCATTAATAATTTATTTGTGTTCATAGTTATACTTTTAATTCTTTTTCATTAAATCTACGTTTACTTTTTATTTCATAAGACTAATTAAACCATTGAATTGTAAATTGTTGACTAATGATATCGGATCTCGTAAGATGTCTTTTGTAAAATGATATCCTTCAAATAGATTTTTTATGTGGACTATTTTTACTTGACCACCTTAGCTAAAAAAATAAAACTTCCATCTATATCATTATTTGTAATACCTTGGTAATAATTTAACGCATTTATAGTCTCTTCACAAAATGCTTTTTACATGTATCAACCTTTTTTCTAACAATCAGTCTTGCGTTAGCAGCAACATAAGTCAGCTTTGACATTTTAACCAGCTGACTAACTCAATTTCAGCAGAATTTTCATTTATCTAATTGTTTCGTATACACTTTAATACATGCATAAAATCAAAAAGTAAAAAAATGCCATCAGTTGTTAACCATAGAGAAAAGCAATCAAATCGTTTTAAAAAAATGCTTGGTTTACTCTACTATAATCATTAATTAAAGCGATAACTTTTCCATTTGTCTTCTTAATTTGGTTGATAAGAATATTAATTTGATTGTATACAAAATCCAAATTATTTACTGGTAACATTCTTACTATAAAGTTTGTTCCCTCATAAAAACATACAACCATGAAAGCCAATATAATTGTTGCAAAACTCGATTCATTGTTTACTGCTTTACGGTTCACATCAAAAAAGTTTCAAAAGAAGGTGATCTGGTTAAAATATTTGCTTTACCAAACAAATGTTCCCGTGATAAGTTAGCATAGGTTAAACATAAACTTCATTTAGTAATA